CGTGCTGCACGGCCAATGAGAGTAGCTCAAAATGGAGTCGAATTTAAAACTAACAATTGCATTACTGGAGTTACGTTTGAAAATTTTCTCGCTTTTCCATGAAAAACTACTTTGTGACGAAAATTGAAACATATTTCACTCAGTCTACTAGTATACTCACTGAGTAAAACAACTTCTTGAAATTTTAAGTTGAATTCAACTCAGTTACTGAGCTACTCTCATCGGCCGTGCTATAGTCGTACGATACGAAAATAATATGCGTTCTGTTCTCTCGCAACAACCTACTCATCGTTCGGTGTGAGATTGAGAGCCTATAGATTCGTTCAGGAAGGTTGGCGTAAAATAAGCAATTTTGTGGCAAAGCTGCAAGTGTTGTCTTTGCACCTAATTTGTGCTAGTTTCGTGGTGGCAACGACGACGATGGCCGTGGTGGTGGTTCTATTTTTGCCCGCAGTCGGAAAAGGGTTGTTTTGGTTACGTTGCGTTGCACAGTAGAGTACAGACAAGAGTAAGAACTGCAGTAAACGAACTGTCAATGAAAGCACGTGCATTCTGGCGATAGGTTTATGAATAGCCATTCCTCAATGAATTATTAGATCCGGATGTGGATGGTGTAGGCAGTTTGGGTACACAGGAAGGACGGTGGGGAGAAGAGTCACACTCGGCAATTGAATCGTGAAATGCGAGAGATTTTTTGGCAACGATGCATATTTTTTGTCGGCTTGAATGTTCTAGTTTTGTGTTTCTGGTTATAGATCTGAATGTAGTTGGTTGAAAAGTTCAATCATAACTATCATTAACTAAGTTGTTGACAGTCACTGCCCGTAGCATAATAGACTCCCGTGATCTAGATAACATTTAAAACGTATTTTTCATAAAATAGGTGTTTTATGAAAATCACGTTTTGCACGGAAACGAGGATATGGATGAGGAGGTGTATTTCGCCAGAAAGTGTAAAGGTGAAACAATAATAATATTTCAAGCATGAACAAGTATTTAAATTTTTATAGTCTCCAAAGTGCCAAAAATATTGAAAACGTCTTAAAATCGCCAAAATTACTAGGTGAACCAACTCATGGCAGAATGAAAGGAAAAAACAACACTTTTGTCTTAAAAGCACTAAAATTTCGCTTATTTCAAAGGCCAGAAAAACGAAATCACCTGAAAATCGCAAAATTTGTCAAACTTTTAAAGTCAAAATTACGTTGAAACGTCAAAATCCCTTTGAAAAACACCAAAATAAATGTAAAGTAAATTATTAAATTGTGTTTCTAAAGATGAATAAACGCCAAAATACCTTTACTAAGACCTTTACGGTCAGTCGGGGCTACGCCTCTCGGTCACGCGCTTTTGTGTGTCGTGTCTCGTTTGATACCTTTTGTTGTTGACGTTGAAAAAAAAATCGAAAGGTGGCAAAACAATTGGATTTAACTTCCCAAATGAAAGTGCGAAGCCCTCCATGAGCGATATTGCCAATTTTGTGAAGGCACTGGATATTCGGATCTCGTGGAAATGAAAGCTACGTACCGGATTACGTTGGAAAAGGCCATATGTATTATGTTTAAATCGGAATCAATGCAGTATACATTGCTGCATAACCCGGAGCAATTGATTTTCTGTTATGCTGATGGAAAGGCAGTTTAGGTTTGCATGTTGTCTGCGGGGGACGACGTTTAATACGTTCTTCAACCAGGGTGTCCCGGATCGTGATATGGCGTTTGTGCTGGGGACATACAGAAAGGTTAACCGTGTCGTCTGGGCGTTTTCTGCTGAGTTGGGCCTTAACATGCACACAGGAGTGCGAGGTTTTTATATGGACGTAGAGAAGGAAATTCCATCTCAAGAATAAAAAAAAAAACGGTCTACGTAGTTAATGAACAGCTCCTAACATATAAACACTTTGAATGTTGAAATTATTGAAAAATGACATCTTCATGATTTTTTTTTTATTTCTAATATGAACATCTAAATCATAAACGAATCGACTAACTAATCGATGTGACTAATTGCCATGTGAACCGGATATTCTAGCTTCTCCAAATAGTCTTGTAGTTCAGTTGATTTGTTCTACTAGATCAACCAATACTGTACTAATGTCTGTAGTATCGAAATATGTCCAAGAAGATTCATAGTGTCTATGAGGATCAGGGCTGACCTAATATGTCCATTAAGATGTGATATTTCGATACTACAGTCTTTTTTGATCAAATTATCTGAACTGCAAGATGATTTGGAGAACCTAGAACATCTGGTATACATGGAAATCGCGCATTATACACATAGGCACTATGAAACTGTTAGGACATATTTCGATGCTGCAGACATTATCCCAGTCATGGTCAATCTAGTAGAATAAATCATCTGAACCCCAGGACGACTTGGAGAGCCTAGAGCATCTGCTATACATGGCAATAGGTCATGCTATATCATGACAATAGGCAATAGGTCATGATCCACATAGACATCTGATTGAACATATTTCGATACTACAGCCATTATTCCAGTCTTGGTTGATCTAGTAGAACAAATCGACTGATGTGCTGGACAATTTGAAGAACCTAGAATCTTCGGTATACATGGTAATAAGTCGTGCATGATCCACAAAGTCACATATATCCGATTCGTTTATGATTTGACAACGAAAATAGAATAGGAATTTTAAAAATATCATGGAAATGTTTCACATGACCGTTGGACAGACCCCAAGAAATATCCGTGTAAATTCGGAACCGTTAATCCGACGTGACCAACAAGTATATCTTAAGAAACTCTGATAATTTTTAGATTATTTGTAGGGTGTTTGGTTTGAACCGGTAACAAATTGAGAAAACTGACGTCTGAATTGACCAGGGTAGCCAGCGAACCGGGAAAACCGTTAAAACTAGGAAATAACCAGGAATTTGACAAGAAGCCGGGAATTGACGGGAGAACCGGGAAAAATCAAACCTTAACATATTCGATATGAATTACAGCTTAAACTTAATCAAGCAAACATATGTTTCTTCACTCAAAAATGGTTTATTCAGTTCTTAATTATCTTAAACCTTTGAAATTATGGAAAACTCTCCTCGCAAATCTTTTGGAATTCTCCTCAGAATACCTTGGAATTCTGAGCTGAATTTTCGTGAAACATTCTTAAGAATTAAATTTAAATTTTTCAGCATTTTTCTTTATTTACCTCAGAACACGAATCTTTCGGCATTTTTCCCGGATCTTGCTTAAAGGTGTCTTGTGAATCTTCCTCAGTATTCCTTTGAAATTATTATCAGAAAACCCTTTAAATTATGTTTATATTTCTTTTTAAATTCATCTTAAAATTTATCTGCTATCCTCCTCTCAATCCGCATACAATTCTCTTCAGAATCACCGAGGAATTCTCCTTGAAGTTCTCCCCACAACTCTGTTGTAATTCTTCTAAGAGTTCGTCAGGACTTAATCTCAGAATTAATTTAGGATTCTTGTCATAGCTCCGTTAAATATTTTTCTTCAAGTTATTTTCAGAATTTTGAATTTTTAAAATTGTATGAAAAAATCTTCTTAGAATGCTGAACATTTTTTCCAAGACCACACAATTTTCCAGCGACTGTATTTATCCAAATACATACATACATACATACATACATTTATTTGTACAACATCACATTTAAGATAAGACATAATCAACAATAGTACGCCACAATACTCGGTTTGCGGCTGCCGCTCTCCATCCTCGGTCATGCCCAATGCTCGCTAGATCACCCCCTTCCTGGTCCGCCCATCGTGCTCTATGCGCTCCACGTCTTCTTGTGCCAAACGGATCAGTAGCGAACACCAACTTTGCAGGGTTGTTGTCCGGCATTCTTGCAACATGCCCTGCCCACCGCATCCTTCCGGCTTTGGCCACCTTCTGGATGCTGGGTTCGCCGTAGAGTGCATCGAGTTCGTGGTTCATTCTTCGCTGCCACTCGCCGTTCTCCTACACAGCAAAAAATAAATTTTAATATTACATCCAAGAGGATGCACGTCAATCATGTCGAAAATCTCATGTAATTTTTATGGTCACAACAATAAACAAATGCAGTAAAAGCAGCGTAATGTCAGTTCATGCACTGTATTAATGATAATTTTACCCTTTTTGGCAAGTAATATTACACCATATTTTCGACACGATTGAAGTGCATCCACTTTGATGTGATATTAAAATTATTTTTTTGCTGTGTACACACCGCCGAAGATCGTTCTTAGCACACGTCGCTCGAAAACTTCGAATGCTTGCAGGTCCTCCTCGAGCATAGTCCATGTCTCATGTCCATAGAGGACCACCGGTCTTATTAGCGTTCTGTACATGGTACATTTGGTGCGGGGGTGAATATTTTTGACCGTGGTTTCTTCTGGAGCCCGTAGTAGGCACGACTTCCACTGATGATGCGCCTTCGTATTTCACGACTCACATTGTTGTCAGCCGTCAGTAAGGATCCAAGGTAAACGAATTCCTCCACTGCCTCGAAAGTTTCTTCCGCAGTTTGACCATCACCAGGTAGTGGTCAGAGTCGATGTTAGCGCCACGATAGGTCCTGACGTCGATAATGTCGGAGAAGTGCCGTCCATCAATCAGATCGTGGCTGATTTGCGATTCCGTCTGCTGTGGTGATCTCCAGGTGTAACGATAGGGGAGGCTGTGTTGGAAGAAGGTGCTACGTATGGGCATGTTCTTGGAGGCGGCGAAATCGATGAGTCGCAGGCCGTTCCCGTTCGTCAGCTGGTGGGCGCTGAACTTTCCAATCGTCGGTCTGAATTCCTCCTCCTGGCCTACCTGAGCGTTTAGGTCTTCTATGATGATCTTGACGTCGTGGCTTGGGCAGCGATCGTACCCGCAGTCGAGCTGCGCGTAAAATGCGTCCTTGTCATCATCAGTGCTTCCGCAGTGAGGGCTGTGCACGTTGATTATGCTAAAGTTGAAGAATCGGCCTTTGATCCTCAACCTGCACAATCTTTCGTCGATCGGCCACCAACCGATCCCGCGCTTCTGCAACTCTGGTAGATAGTATGATTACCTCTAAACGTTCGTTGGATCCTGTCTAACACCTCCTGCAGCGCTACGATGCCGAATCCGTGGTCCTTCAGTAGATTGGCGAGTATTCGGGTGCTCCCGATGAAATTGAGAGATCGACAGTTCCACGTGCCGAGTTTCCAATCGCAAGTCCTATTTCGTCGCTGGGGTCGTTGCCATTGGTCTCGGTTCGTATTCCTCTGTTGCTGATTTTCCGTTGCAATGCTTTTTTTACGGCTGGCTCGCAGGGCCGGACACCAACCCCCTAACTTTCCGGAGGACCAGGGTGCACAGTTGTGCTTAGAGTCCTTTACTGGCACTCGGTCGTAGATTAGCCGCCCCTAACATAGGGAACAGACGCTGATGTGAGCCGCTCCTCCTGGAGAACAGACGCTCAGGCTTGCCAAATGGCATATTCTAAGACTCTAAACATAGGGGAAATGGCTCTAATGTTGGCCTATGGATCTAAGATTGGGCCCATCGCTAAAAATCTGCTATTTATCAATTTTATCTAGATGAACGCGTCATTGCGACGGTACTAATGGATATTTTTGGCCCGCTATTGAAAATTTAGTCGATTGCTGAATTTATGTATGGGCCTCAATAAGGGGCATTTAGGCCGACGTTACATCCATTTCCCCTATGTCCTCAGAATCATAAATTTTAAAATTATTTTTATGATTCAATTTGTTTTTAAAATTTGTATTAGAACAGATCACGATACTTTAAAAAGAATCTTGCTCCATATCAAGTTCAAGATTTTTAAAACAATTTCTTAACATAATCTGTCCCTTTGAAATTCGGTATAATGACCCATTCAGCCCGATAGTGTTCGGCTATGCGACCTTCCTCCTTCTATGGATGCTCATGTGGGCTGCAGCTCGCTGCTTGCGGGCAGCCTTTCGATGTGTACTGGAGAACAATGTTCAACGCAACGCGTCGAAAGTACTGCTGCTGATACCGACGACCGGACACCACCGCACACGGTGATTGGACTGAATCCGATCAGCGGTTGAGGGCAGCCTTAATAGCTAGCTGCTTGCGGGGAGCCTTTCGTTGTGTACTAGAGAACATCACCACGCGGTGATTGAATAAACACCGTTTGGTGAGACCGGATGGAATTCACCTTTGAAATCTGTGTAAGGGAAATCGCTATTCGCAAGCAATCGGTGATAATTTTAATTATCATAGCAACAGTTGCACATTCGTGGAATTTTCAATATTGACATTTAGAAAAATGATAAAGTCTTGAGTTTAGCAGATGCGTAGAAATATTTCTGATCGATTGGTGATACAATTATTGTAATTGGTCCAGGGGCAGCTGAATTATTAACGTCAAAATCTTTCATAATTTTGTTACATGTTCCATTTTCGGTTTTCACAAAGTTTACCCCCATATAGAAATCACTGGCGTAGTCATACGTCAAAACAATTATCGTTTAACAATGACGAACACGGAGGATTCACTAGTACTGGGATTCTAAACCCCTATTTCAAAATCATTGATCGGCACTGTATTGTACCACATTTTTCTTTCGTTTTTGGCAGCCCAGCTTTCGTGCGTCTTCCTGGTCCTGTTTGTAATAATTTCAAATTATGAACGCCTGCGCCGATTTAGAATACATGTTCGGTGTGTTTTGCTGTTACCATTCGGTGGTGTCGAATCAAAAATAGAAAATCTCTGTTTTTTCGCTCTTTCTCTATGTTTTTCCTCGTGCACAGTACACAAGACCTGCGAAATGCGGGGAGTGCACGGCTCTGTAGGCCACGAAAACCACTAACGTGACCACTGCTACTCTCACTTTGCGCTCAATTTTCCCTTTTTCTTCGTCGTGAGGTTTGTCCTTGTGCTGGTGCGACGTGTGTGACTCTCCTGGCTGGCACGGAGCGAATCGGCTTGTGCAGCGCAGTTCGCTGAAAATCGTGCGTGCGTGCATAAGGGCCTAACAATCGAGAGACAAATCACCAGACTGAATCTAAAAAAATTATCACGATCGCAAGCGTGACAGGGGAATAGCATAAGAATAAGAAGAAGAAATACGCGAACGTGTGTGCGTGAATCTGTGGTCCATTTTTTGTCTTCTGGTGAAAAAGTGCAATTTTGAAGCGATCGTCGAAAATTTGTGCTAATTGTACGCCTCTTGAAATATCGCACATTTTCTTCCACTTTTTGGGGCCGACGCCGACGCGTGTTACTTGGTGGTGTCGTCGATCTGTTTATTTTAGATGCCACTTGGTGGAAGTCCGACTGTTGCTGATCTTCTCGTGAGCTCTGCCCGGATTACGTCATAGAGCGTATACGAACGGAAGGATCGCTGACTTCTGCTACTGCTGGGGGAATTCAGCTGCTGCCAGCAGCACGCCGTTGTCATGATGGTGCGTTATGGGATGTGCGAGCAAAATACGGAAAATCTATGACCCAAAGAAACGATTAGGAAGTCATTGGGTTGACAAGTGACATTGCGAGTGACGAGTTTGCTTATGGGGAAAACAACCAAATTGGAACATCGTATATTTTCAATAATAAAAGAACCATGTTCCGCTTTTCGATTTCATCTCAGGAATGTGAGCAACTGCTGCCTCCTGTAGTCGTTTGAAAGAATGAGGAATTAAGGAATTATTTCATGTGACGAAAAATGTGTCAAGATGGAGCAAAATATTTCGCTGACTGTTAGTCATACTATTTTTAAAATTGCTAGAATCGAACGCGAGAGAATTTTCATCCACCAGTTTTATGAACCGATAAATTTGTGTTGGTGTGTTGTGCGAGAATCAAAACAAATATCACTGTTACGTGCTTCAGCCCCATCTATCAGGAAAACCACCGAAAACCGTCGCTGTTTTAACCCAATTTTAATTGCAATCTTTTATCTCTCTCTTCCTCTCTCTCTCTCTCTACCGTGGCTTTTCTGTGTAACATGCACTGTGGCTTGTGTGTAACTCGAATGAATGTTATTAAATGTGCACGGCGCCGAAAACAAAAATCACATTCTCGGACAAATTGGTGGAAATCATGCCGCAGACACCCTGACAGTACGCGATGGTATGCCTCGAAGATGAAGAAGCACTTTGTGTCATAAAGGATCCACGACCGGGCGCGCAACAGTGGAAATTCAACTTCAAAATACGAGCCCACAACACGGTCGCCAATCTGTACGAGTTTGTAGCGTCGCAAACCCTCTATCCGGATTTTGAGCTTCTACTTCCCGCCAAGGACAACAGCGAATCGAGTACCGAGGTAAGTGGGCTGTATGCATTTCTACAATGGTTTATGTTGGTCATGCTTGGAATATGTTTTTGTAAAAATTTAAGGGGTCGGTAGGCTTTGTTGTTTGATGGAGATGCCTTGCAATGATATTGAATGTTACCATACATATGGCGTCGCCGGTTGTGTTTTAATCAATAGTATTGTCTCAGCAAAATTACTGGAAAATTTTACCCATCCCGGGTTCTCTTTATGTCAAATTTGTTGCTTCGGTTGGTGCAGGAACTGGCGGACATTGTTCCAAGAATCATTGATTTCGTAGTTCCAGATCTTCAAGGGGTCGTACAGGGAACAATTGCAGTTACTGATACTTCTACTAAAGCTCCATGCTGCATACATCGTCTAGGTGCCACAAACTCCGAGAACGAACGGCTGGACCACCATTTCTCAAGCTACAGTAACAATCCGGTGAAACGGCCATTTTGACAATTTTGCCCCAATATAATACCAAATCTAGACTAACATTTGAAAGGGGCGAAAGAGCCAACATGTAAACAAACCATGTTTTGCCACACATGTATAGAGAGAACAGTCCACAAATTACTCAATAAACACGAAAAAGTAGAAGAAAACATCATTTCAAATCATCAAAAATGTTACCTTTTACATGGCGTATTTCCAATTTTCAACTCTATGATACGGGTTGTTATCCCGCATAAACGCGAACCATAAATTGACCTTACCTAAAATGGTTAAAAATTGTTTATAATCCCTGCTAAACTTTAACTGAAATGGTTATGGAACTTTACATGAACGTTTAATGATAAAGTTTCAACCTTATGTATTATGGTTTTTTGGAACTGGACCTTACAAATAATGGGTTGTTAAGAACCATTACCGTTCCAAATTTTTGTTTTCTCCATACATTTTCGGAAAGAGAACTATATTAGAACCTTTTAACTTATGGTTTGAGAACTTTAATGGTAATGGTTATGGTAGTCAGTAAGGTCCACGAATGGTTTTGTAACATCGATCAACTTTATGTGGAATATATCGCGAATTGGTTGCCTGTAATTTACTGATTACCAATTCACGATATATTCCACGTAAAGTTGAGCGATAATACAAAACCATTAATGGACCTTACTGACTACCATAACCATTACCATTAATGTTCTCAAATCATAAGTAAAAACGTTCTTATATAGTTCTCTTTCTGAAAATGTATGGAGAAAACAAGAATTTGGAATGGTAATGGTTCTTAAGAACCCATTATTTGTAAGGTCCAGTTCCAAAAAACCATAATACATAAGGTTGAAACTTTATCATTAAACGTTCATGTAAAGTTCCATAACCATTTCAGTTAAAGTTTAGCAGGGATTATAAATAATTTTTAACCATTTTAGGTAAGGTCAATTTATGGTTCGCGTTTATGCGGGATGCCTTGCATTAAAACTATGAATTATAAATACTACTTTCTCTCTGAGATGACCACGTTGGTCATGACGAGAGGAGCAACACAATAGTTGGGTAATGCCTTGTTCAGACTACATAGTTATAACATGTTAGCGCTATCTTGATGGTGGTTTCTGTGTTGCAATTATTTGACAACCGTTATAACATGTTATAACTCTCCAGTCTGGACAGCGTTTAAAGAAGAATTGCATTATAACACACCATCAACTGGAAATGCTCTCGCAACGGGGGGTTTTAGGTAGTGATGAAACGTCGCTAGAACTATTCCACAGCCGCAGACAGTAATGAGCAAAAGCGGACGCACACTGTTTTGCCTGTAGATTTGAAGACATAGGGTAGGATGGTGCAAAACGCACCGTTTAAGTAAAATCGTCAATTGCTGGCGTATGGAAGCAAAAATCAATGAGAAAGTAACGGTTTATGGTTCATTACCATGTTTTCTACTAAGATTGAGTGATTTCGAACTACAAAATAATGATTGTTCATGATTTTCAAGGTATTTTATAAATCGTTTCCAAAATGATAGTGGGGCAAAACGCCTGATTCATGGTGCAATATGCACCACAACATTGGGGCAAGACGCACGACAACAATGGCCAAAATGCACCACATGATAGACAAACCGTAACCCCTGCAAGCAGTGGCGTCGCGTCCACATGTGCAACCTTTGCACGACAGATTTTTATAGATTTTATGGTCACATTAAAGCTGTACTTCTTTACTCCAGACCACAAGTGACCATGAATACAGTGTGCTTAATTAAATATTCGACCTTGGTTTGCTTCAAAAAGGGTTAAATTCAGTTGGGATGGTCTGCCTAATCCCTAATGCATTGATTTCTAACCATGTCGATATCACTACCATGACTAAACTCGTTAAATAGTGCACCAAGAAGCGAGCTCTTTTGGGTGGCGGGTGGCAAGTTTGTGAATAACCAAATGCCTGATGTAAGCCAAGCAGACCTTCTATCACCTCTTGAAACATACCACAAATTTTCCATAATACATGGCGGTTTGCACCACTGGTTGTAATTGAAGCTTTCAGCAGACACGCGTCAAACGGGAGCAACACGGAAACAGCAGTCTGGTACGCTTTGGACGTTATCATACTTGCAGACCGGTTTGAATGTGTGAGTTTAAATTAGAAGAACATTTGTGATGTATGGGTGCCCAAAGTATGCATTTCTCGCTGTGCACTTGGATATCTGATTGCTGACAAAGAGAGTAATGGAGAAAGAGCGCAAAAGCCCGCTCTCACTTGTGAGTTGTGAACAGTCTTGTAAGCGGTCACAGTAGTCGACACATTTTCTGTGATATTCGACTGCCTTTGCTTGCGACAGTTGCAAAACAAGCTATCAAATTACAGTACCAAACTAAAATGTCATTTGATAGGCTCTGTCATACGACACTGTTGTCGAAGACCGTCACGAATGTATGTATTTTAGTTTTTCTCATAACAAGAGCTGCTGATGTTGTGCTTGTGTGAATTCTGAAAATAGCAAGCAACGATGTCCTAGTAATAATATTTCTGATTAGAAATGGTTTAATTTACACCAAATTGAGGAATTAGAACGAAATCCCACATGTCATATGAAAGTTATTTGAAAATTTTCTTTTTGCTCGAATGTTGTTCTACCGTTTGTGTTGTGTAAGAGAGACGACGGTAGAGCATGAGAGTACGAATACAAACAGACTGTCGCGCACGGCAACGAAGCGAGTGTAGTAAAAAACGTCAACGGTTTACATCCCTGGTTGTGAATCTCTCAATTCTAGATAGAGCTGGAATTAGGGCGTAACAGCTTTTGTAAACAATGACTTCTCTCGATGATTTCTCGAAAGTCATGACTCTCGCTGGCAAATCAACATCACCATCGAGTAGGAGAAGACTTCCCCTACCAGATGGATATGTTGGTTTGTGTAGGCGTGCCTTGATTTCATAGAAATCAACGAGAGAAGTCATTGTTTACAAAGGCTGTTACGCTCTTATTCCAGCTCTATTTAGAATTATCGATAGTTGCGCCGGTGCGTCTGTCAAAACTTATGAGCTTCCCTGGTTCATTCTGATAGTGTTGTTCCGCTACCCAATGGACTATGAATTTTCTCTAGATTTTGGCATTGTTTTGTATCAAAAAATGTTTTCGGAAGTGTTTGACGGATATTCTTTATTGCACTTCAGTCGAAAGAGTTAGCCTTTTGATAAAAACGAGAATTCAAGCTGAACATTGCATTAGGTCCTAAGTAACATTGACAGATTCTCTCCGTCGACTTCATTCCAAAGTGTTTTCAGCACACAGATCTATAAAAGAAGATTTTATCTGGCATCTAAAACGACAAACACAACAAGAAATGGTTATGTGCTAATAACTTGAAATAGAAAGTCGACGAAGAGAATCGATCAATATTACTTAGAACCTAATGCAATGTTCAGCTGGAATTAGTTAAGTTTTGCAATTCCTCCTACTTCGGTTAGCGCGAAAAGGGCCATACAAGTTTTGTTCATGCAAGATGATAGGTTCTTCAAATGTTACGTTAGGTAGTGATTAATATAGTGATGGAGAATATGTCCCTCGAATTCATGGAGCATTGAAAAATAAAACAAAAACTAACGTGGTGGTAAACTATAACGAACAAAGCTTGGTGCACAGGTAAACAAATGAGGCACGCGACGCCTCTGCCTGCAAGTAGAGATAGAGTGTTAATCTTTGATTCATGAAGTAAAACATATACAACATATACGAAAAGTGATCTCGTTCCATTATTTTGCGATATATGCTGATTTTAACAACTGTGTCTTGTTTTGCGTAAAATGCAATTTATTAAAGGAATTTAAAGGATTTTATGCATCTGAGGAAAAGTTATCGTTGTTTTTCTATGAGTGGGCATTTTACCCCAGGGGTGCATTATGGGCTGTTCTCCCTTACTTCAAAACTCCGCATACATCGTACGGGTTAAGGCCGGCGCACAATGCATACGTTTTCGGGTTTTTTTTTGACAGATAATGCATGGGCTAACTGTCAAAAAACCTTAAAACGTATCCATTGTGCGCCGGCCTTTAGGCAAAAAGGTGTGCGTTTGACTTTGTACTGTCGCATTAATGGCCCCTCGCTCATTTTCAACTTCTATTCAATTTTCATACTGCCGTACTCTAACGGAACTATCACGTAATAATAAATTATCACACTAAAGCTTCATGTTAGCATTTCCAACCAACTCTGAAAATCGCAAACTTCGCGTATGAAGTAACATAAAAACACTTTGAATGAATTATAATGTTTTAATATGAAAATCGTACTGATTTTGTAGTGTCTAGTCACGCTCGAGTAATTTGAAATGCATCCGATTAGCAGACGAACAAAAAGAAGACCAAAAATTCTCCGGGCGTAATTCCACTCTCCCAAAATTTACGAACGAAGAACCAAGGCGGAACAACAAACATAAAATCCCGAGGGTGTATTTCCACGGCGTATTACCAGTGTTGGCAGTTAAGTTTTTAGTTTTTAGTGAGACATGATGCAGTCCCGTAACGTGGGTAGATCACCTTTTCGTGGTACGTTACGG